ATTGTGCGTAGCACTGCAGCTGCTCAGGGTGTGCCGTTTCGAAGCTTTAGCGCTAGGGTTTACGAGCGAGGAACTCCGCTCATAAGAAAGTATAGATGCTTGTGAATGTACCAATATTGCGCAGCGTAGCGTTGCTATCGGTGCCGTGTTCGTGCGAGTGCGTACATTTTTCGTCCAGCGCTGACCGCCTATCCGTCTCAATCCATCGCCAGAATCGACCGGACCTTATTTCGGGCGTGCTTGACCATTTTTCTTCTGCTCCTTTCCTAGCTGCTACGTCAGTCAGCATCCAAAAGTTTATGCTTTGAGCATCACTCGTGGCTTGCCAATGTGAAATGCGCATTTGAATCAATCTTTGTTATGTCGCTCGAATCCGAGTTCGTTTTCCTACCGTGTTTTTAATTGTGAAAATTTACAGTGAAAGTTTTTTGGGTGTGGTGCGTTACATCTGAGTCACGGCGAGTGCGGCGAAATAGACGTTGCAAAAGGGGTTACAAACTCGGCATTCGAATCGGGACCCAACCCGCTCAATATGGCAGTGCTGCAATACGTAAATTCTCTGTGCCTATGCGTCTCTCAGAACGACTAGCTTTCTCTGTATGCCTGTGTTTGTCAGGTCAACTAGCTAGAAAAAACTTTGCTAGTGCGCGCGATGCCGTGACTTGGAAGTAACGCTCCATGTCCAAGTTTCTCTAGCAATAAAAGATACGCTTCTTCAGTACCGCTGGTTCATTGTCGTCTTCATACTGCTGTTTTTCGTGTTAATACCTGGTATTGTTGTTGGACTGACATTACTCCCAGATTACGTCATCATAGTATGCTTTTCTCAGATATTCATCTTCGTCGTGCTGATTGTTATAATCACAGCTATGCAGGTATTTACTCCTTTTCTTACAACAACCATCCAACGTTTTCCCTGAAATACTGTTCAATATCCTACCGGAATATTTTAATCCTAACAGAAATAGTGTTGCTAGTAGGACGGGAACCATTCCTTCAAGCCAAGGGCTATTTCTCAACCTATAAACTGTGTATTCGGGCTCTAATGGTACTTCTCTAATACCAGTTCAGAGATGTTCAGGAGCATCAAATCCAGGTTCTCACAAAAATCCTTATCGGACCTTTTCGGCATCAAATCCAGGCTCTCACAAAAATCCTTATCGGACCTTTTCGCATCCTACCACGGCATAAGCCACAGTAACGGGAACTAGCTAGCCAATTGGCCCACCAGTGAAGAAAAGCTAGGGAAGGTGCTGGGAACGCCTTAGATAACAGGGTAGTCCATCCTTTCCTGCAAGTCCACTTACTAAGTGGGCGGGGTCAGGTAAATCATTATATAAAGGCCCATTCAAAACTTTATGTGCGCCACGTAGTGGAATTGTGAACAGTAGTGCACTTAGAAGTTATAGAGTACAATGTATGCAAGGAGAATGTAAATTATGCTCGCGGCGAAAAGGGAGCGTGGCTATTCGGGGCGGGGCTTCCCACTAGGTCTACTGTGTGCTGGGGCAGTGTTGATGGCGCTTCTCGCAAAAATGCAAAGTGGGAAGCTCCGCCCCAGATATCCAGGCCCCCTTTCGCGGCGAACAAAATTCACATTTACATTACATACAATGCACGCCACATTTTCTTACCCTAATTCTTCACAGTTCCTCTACAACACACAACATTTTTGATTGGACTTTCATGACGACCACAACTTTGTCAGCCTTGTATCAGAACGGCTGAGAAGTACTGGATTCCGAGCGAGGGAGCAAACAAGGAAGGGCAGAAGAGCATAAACACGAGCAAGACACTACTTTCCCAACGTTTCTGGTTTAGGACCTATTTTGAGAGATGCGGAAAGACATAAATTATAATCACCAGTGCCCCGGCAACGCTTTTTAGAACTGTGGAGATGGTGCAACCCTGGCGGCGATGGTTGACTCTGCCTAAAAAACTAGTCTCTAGTCCGCGCGCTCAGTGCCTCGTGGCTGTGCAAATTGCTTAGAGCCACCCTAACTATGGTGATAAACCATTACAGATAGGATAGATCGGTTAATTTCAGTTCTAACAGTGACTTTAAGCGTGAAGATCAAATATCAGTAGAATGCACCACGTTTCAATTCCTACACGGAATTTCAGAGAAGCCACGGTTGAATTTTGGTGTTTCAGAAACATTTCCCCGGAGCATTACCGTCCTTCCTTCGCTCATGGGATTGGGTTCCGATATATCTGCGTTCCCTCGAACCGTATGATCCCATGATGACGGCATTCTTCACGGCGATTCCATTTGTAGGAGGATTTTTCAAACGTTCAAAAGTTATCAATCATATTGATAATGGCGACTCCGTCTATACGATGATCAAGCTCAGCAAACACACTCAGGTCTAACGGGTGTATAGATCGCTCACACTCCTTTCTTTATATAGCTGCTTTAATTTCACTTTACCAAAAAACTTTCTATCGGGTACATACATTGTAGTTGTACAATTAGCGAATAATGATACACATTGATATGCTTTAGTACAGTGTAGTGCTGAGCTCATGTAGCTGACTACAGCCGTTGTCACCGAAGTCGGTAGGGGCGTGTTAGCGACATGTCGATTTTGTCGTGGCGCGAGCCCCTTTTTCGCTCATCAGCCGCTCGAACGATCGATGGGGAACGGACTGGCGCCGTTCGAATGCACAAGCTTCGCTAACACGCCCCGACTCAATTCAGTCATAACTACGATATCTATGCGTTTATACGAGTACCGCTCATCACTGGAGATGTTTATTCTCAATTTTCCTGAGAAATAAATATTTATCAAACATCGCTTCACATAAGTTATTATATACAAACTTTGTACTCGTAAAAATTGAAATCAAGTAAAAGAAACCCATTGCCAGACTCATCAACGCGCAAAAATCCAGATTGCCCGTGTCAACATTAAAGGAAGCGATTGAAAACCTACCACCAAATATCTGCATCGACTTTTCATCCTTGTGAATTGAATCAATGGCACGCCCACTGAAATCGGGCTATGGGTTCGACCGGTGATCCACTTAAAGCACTTCAGGACCTTCACGGGCCAAAAGCACTGCTTCCATATTCTTCTCAGAACGTCAAACATTTACTATGTCTGCGTCATACTCGTCCCCAATACGTGATGAAATACCTGTAAAGATTGTAGTAAATCGGAAACCAGTTCTTACTCTCAGCCAGTTATCAAGTACAAAACAACACAGTTCAATAACAGGAACGCGTAACGAAGTAGCAGTGTGCCATATACTCCTTCAGCTCAGTCTACATCGCTCTTTGATCATCATGGTCCTTAATTGCAGCCTACCTAACCTATTGTCAAAGTGGACCTGTCGGTGTGATGCAGCATATCCGAGGAGCGGCATCCTGCGCGATTGGAAAAGTATTCTTAACTGAACTGGCTTGACACTGAAGCTCGGTATGAGATCAATTACTGTAATTACCCTCGCAAACGAGAGGGCGTTGGAAGGGGCGTGAAATGTAGCGCAGCCAGACCAGATTTCCCTTCAGATGTTGTGAGCTCAGGATGGTATCAGTCGGAGGAAAAGGCCGCCCTATCTGCGTTCGATCCTCTTCTAGTGGCACGCCCTCTCGTTTGCAGGGATAAAGGCTGTAACGCCATTTGGGCAGCTTTGCTAAACAAATTCCGAATCCTTCATTTTAACTGCCAGGTGCATAGAAACGTAGTTTACTTGTGGAACTTCCACTGCATTGGTTTCCTGAGAAAACGTGGACATTGCCACTAGGGACTCCTGTGCCACTATGGACCCCTCTCTCAATGTCACCATTCCTCCTCCTGAAATCCTTTTACGTTCAAGCGTCTGACGGACATGTTCGAGCGCGCCATTCACACGAAAACCTTTTTCTTTCACTCATTTTGGTTGTCATACATGAGCACTTTTCTCTGGACATTCTCACTCTGGAGAAAGAAAAGGACTTTAGAATAGGAACTAGAGAAAAGAAATTATACAACATTCGACAGATCAAAAAGATAAGTGAGAGCAATGGTTCGTTTCGCCTCTAATCATCAGACGAGCCATTGTCTTTTGTCCTTCCCTGAGGCTCTTCAGTGGTATAGGGAAGATCGGAACAAAAAGTGTACGATATTGTGGTATAATTATGAAAGTAACATCGTTATGAAAAAGTCTTTTGACCCAAGAAATAGCACACAGCCTCTGGAGACCTCGTTGATGAACCCGCCTAGGGCAATCAATTTTGCAGCGAAAACATTGTAGTGCCTTCTTAGCTTATCGGCTGACTTATGTTGACTGTTGGGTGTTCGAATGTTGGTTGGCAATCTGCGACAAGATTGGCGGTGTAGACATCCGAAGAGCTGCATAGCGCACAACCGGGCAACACATTCCCTGGCTACGCCGAGTAACCCCTGACAGAAACAGTTCTTTGGGTGAGCTGCGCAAAAGGGTGAATAACTTCCTGGCCTCATTTGCCTCCCTCCCTGCGGCTCATATGTGCAGAATTATTCCTCATATTTAACATCAACTGAACGCTCCAACGAAATAAACTGCGTAATCCGCGACGATTGTAAAAGAGGCCACTGCGGCATTGTCACTGCGCTTCCTCCACAGCGCGGCCCTCTCTTCACCGCCTCAAAAGGGCGCACCGATGAGGAAAGATGGGTTACTTACTCCGCCCATACGATTAGCATGGACCGCGCTTTCAACGGACATACTTGAACACGAAAACGAAGAGACATCAAGTATGTTCTTGGGGGTGTGTTTTCTAGACTGTAAGCCTCACCGAATCTTTAACCTTATTCCTTAGGCTCTAGTTATTCTCACAGTTCAGACTAGAGAAATTATCTGTCTATATGAATACGATTCCCTTGGTCATTCCCTTAATGCGCAATATTCAAAATGGGGAACTGGTGAAAGGTCGTTTTTACTTCGAAGTGAATATTTTCCGAACCACGCGAAAGCTGTTCCAAATTATGCCAGGTCAAGAAAAATTTACTCAATTTAATTGTAAAAATCGGCTAAAGTGTGACAGGGTACAGTAAGCTGTACAAGCTGATATCGCCGCAGTCAGTCGGAGCGGTGTCAAGACACGTG